TGGTGGGTCTGGGTGTGGGTTTGGTTATTTAAGCGATGAGTGACACCCACACCCACCCACACCCACACCCACCCACACCCACACCCACACCCACCCACACCCACACCCACCCACCACACACACCCACACCCACCCAAACCCCAAGATATAGTTACACTAAACTAAATAAAAATGTCATTCGTGAACAATGATAACTTTTCTCCAATCATAATACAATGTGGTTATAATGAAATAATGTTCAAGAACTACCATTTCGGATTAAAGTGAACAAAGGATTTGTATACATAAATCTTGTAATACCTCAATTACCATAAATCAATGGTCAATTTTAAAAATTTTATCTATTAAATCAGATGAAATTCATGACTGTGATCATTCAGAAAAAGTGTTATTTAAACGTATATGAATGCATTAAACATCGATACTCCATGAGGATATTTTAATTCAAGATAAACAAGAATATTTAGATGATTGCTGAGATTTTGAAGTTTATCAAAAGAGACTACGTTCATACTGTTATTGTTATATTAAAGTATTCATGATACCAATAACAAGGATGATTTTGATTATCAATCTAAACAAAATTAGATATTCATTGTCTTTCACTAATGAATTTTTTGTTTTACATTTCTTCATTTAATAAAATTTGTTTTCATTCTATCATGCGATTATTTTGTCCTTATTCCTGCAATTCCGCTTTACGAACAATTTTCAATCTGTGGTTATTTTTGACTCCTCCTTCTCCTTTTCCCCTTGATTTAAGAATGAATAAAAATATTTAATCATATTTATTAAAATTGATTACTTATTTAGTTTTTCATCGATCCCTATATTTACTAAGATCATTGAAAAATATATTAAAAAGAAAGACATTTACCCATATCAATTTTCGTAAAAGAAGCATTAGAACATAATTTATTGAATGGTTTGAGAAATAAATAGAATGATGGATAAGTACTATCTTGAATATATTCAATATTAGGCCATTCATATAGATATGGATGTTTACTTAATAAACAGAAAAATAGTTTTATAAAAATTCATAATTAAAAAAAAATCTCTTACGAAAAAATAATAGAACGTTGAAATTTCTTAAGATTAGAAGAGAATATATGTTGATATGATGTATTTTCATCATCAACACATTGAACATTTGTCCATTGATGTGAAATAAAAAAAGAATTTATTTTAAAAGGATTAATTATTTCTGAAATATTATTTAATGATGATTGACATGCCACACAAATATAAAAATAAAAATATTTTAAATTAATTATTTTATCAGGTAAACAATACTGATGAATAAAATTTGCATCAATAACAGATTTCCATATTAATTGATCTTCCTTCCATAGATATCTGCCACATAAATGAATTTGTAGTTTTGTAATATAATTTAAATTATTAAGAAGCCATTTTAAATAAGTAAATTCAAAATCAGTATCAATAAGACTTTCTAATGTAAAGCATTTCAATTTTGGTATCTATTTTAAAAATATCGAATTACACAACTTGAAAAACTTTAATAAATAAATATAAACAAAATATTCTTCTTTCGTCTAATTAAATTCGATTTACTTTACGTATTACCAGTTTAGTAAAAATAGAAATTCACTGAGAATTAGAGTTTTTTATTATTGGTAAGAAAAAGCTAATAGATTTATAGGAAAATCACTTTTTGAACAAGATTAAAAAAAAGTCAATTTTCATGATCGAATGATCATTCTAATGAGAAACTTATTAATACAGATATTAAAAAACACAAATATCTCCTTCATCTTCATGAAAACTAATCAAAATAAATATTTATAATAGACAATAGTTCGATGAAGATAAAGTGCAATTTAACTTTTTCTTCATCGATATTATAATCGAAGGTGTAGAATCTTGAGGGTGTGGGTGTGGGTGTGGGCGTGGGGTTGGGTGTGGGTGTGGGTGTGGGTGTGGGGGTGTGGGTGTGGGTAGGTGTGGGTGTGGGTGTGGGTGGGTGTGGGTGTGGGTGGGGGTGGGTGGGGGGGTGGGGTGTGGGGGTGGGTGTGGGGGTGGGGGCGGGGGTGGGGGGGTGGGGGGGGTGTGTGAGGGGGGGGGTGGGGGGGGGGGGTGGGGGTGGGGGTGTGGGTATGAACGAGGGCATTACATACATTGACGTCCACACCAACTCCCCCACGCACCCACACCCACATCCACACCCACACCCACACCCACACCCACACCCACACCCACACCACACCCACACCCACACCCACACCCCACACCCACACCCTCATTTTCTATTACAGTTTTTTTTTTATAAAGAATATTATTTTTCGATGATCATTTATATATTCAAATTGTTCTATTTCTATTATATATTTCAAGTTTACTCTTTCATACTGAAAAAATAAATCATTTGATTAAAACAGATATAAAATATTCTAAAGGTATTGTTTAAACAGATGTTTCATTGTATATATAGACTACATAATTAATCTAGTAGTACTAATTTAATGGATAAGAGTTTACCAGAGTTAATTGAAATATGGATACATTACTTAGAGAAAGATGAACATTTTGGGTGTGGGTGTGGGTGTGGGTGTGGGTGGGTATGGGTGTGGACTTGTGTCTTCTCGGAATGGATACCCACACCCACACCCACACCCACACCCACACCCACACCCACACCCACACCCACACCCACACCCACACCCATCACACCCATATAGGATAATTTCAGGTGCAATTAATTCTGTAACAGTTACAAATTATGTACCAAAAATTAATGATCCAAGTATATTTGAAATTCCAGAAGAATGTAAAAATGCTGTTTAGATTACAATATACTACTGAATGGAGACATTTGCAGCAGTTTTTAAGCTAAAATGTTGATATCGTTGGCTAAAATAAAAGAGATAGAGCTTTTAGAAAACTTGTTTTTTCTGTTTAGTTGCACACTTGTCAAAAAATACTTAAAAATGATATGGAAAATAGCACATCTATAGCTTAAGTATTAGTCATTAGCAGAAATTCCAAAACTGATGAATGAAATGCGCACTAAAAATCGAAAGAATATTGCCAATGATGGGAAAAAACCTGACATCTAATGGAAAAATCTTTTAATATAATTACTACGTACTAGTAGATGAAACCTGAAAACGGCATGATATTGCTGACATGGTAAAATAATAATTTCGCTGGTACAGATTCTACATAATTAGTGGTTGATTCAACTGTTATTGCATGTTGATCTTAAGATAGCACAATACTTTTATAGGACAATCAATGTAAAAGAAAAGTAATAATTACAGAGTGTGTTGAATTTAATTTGTTAAAAAACAAATCTTAGACTAGCATTCAAATTCACGGATAGATTGATTCTGGTTCGTGAGAAGAAAGGGACAATATTGAAGGATGTCGATGTACAGAAAGAAAAGATTAACACCTGTATGCATGTATGGAATCATTCATTTTTGTAATTTTGAAAAAAAAATTTTCTAGTCAAGCAGAAACATAATCACTGTTCTATGAAGAATGTCTCTAATGAAGTTCAATCGAATAGATAGATAATTAGAGTGTGAATGTCGATGTATAAGTAGTGTCTTTGACACGCATGCACATCCGTACTCTTCAAAAACAGTATTATATAATCAATTATTATTTATTTAAAGGAAATGGATTAATTACGCAAAAAATTAAAAACTTGATTACATACATCATTTATTTGGTGAAAGTCATATCGATACATTGTTTTTAAATAAAAAACATTCTAAAAGTGTTTAACTGGTGCAATAAAACTTCTAAATAATATTGATATAATTCGTTGGTTACTTTTTTTTATTATCACGAATATACAAGACTTTCCACAAGTGCGTTAAGTAAATTCGTAGGATTTCATTATTTATCAAACTTAATCAACCAATTTCTTCTCAGATGATAGATATAAACGTGAAGTTTTTGTTTGTATGGACAAACTTCGCAAATACCGTTCGAATTTATAAATTTTGACGAAATCACCAAAATCAGTCATTTGCAATCTACTTTCGCAGTGTTTCTGTTTGAGACGTGTCACATATCCAGGAAATCGGAGAAGCTGGAGAAGTACAGGGAGATGCGGGAGAAGTGACGTTGCGGGAGATGCGATAGAAGTGATCTGAGATGTGGGAGAAATGGTCAGAGATGTTGGAGAAGTCATGGGAGATATGGGAGAAGTGATCAGAGATGCTAGAGAAGTGATGGGAGATATGAGAGAAGTGGCCAGAGATGCGGGAGAAGTGATCAGAAATGCGGGAGAAGTGATCAGAGATGCGGGAGAAGTGACCACTGACGTGAAACAAAAGATTCTCTGTGGGTATGTACGTGTCCTTGTGGGTCTTTATCTTCTCCTAAGGAAAGGAAATAAATAAACTGTGCGCGCACCCGAACAATCTCACTCACACCCAACACGAAACTAATCTCATACATGCACGCACACCTATACCCACAGCCACACGCATATCCACACCCGCACCCGCACCCACACCTACACCTGTACCCACACCCACATCTATATCCACACCCACACCCGTACCCACAACTATATCCACAGCCGCACCCACATCTGTACCCACACCCATACCGACACCTACACCCACACCCGCACCCACACCTATACCCACACTCACACCCGCACCTGCACCCACATCTATACCCACACTCGTACACACACATATACCCACACTCACGCCTATATCCACGCCAACACCCACACTCACACCGCATCTCTGACCACTTTTCCAACATTCCTTGTCACTTCTCCCGTATCTCTGGTCACTTCTCCCATATCTTTGGTCACTTCTCCCGCATCTCTGACCACTTCTCCCGTATCTCTGGTCACTTCTCCCGCATCTGTCGTCACTTCTCTCGCTTCTCTGGCCACTTCTTCCAAGTCTGTGATCACGTCTCCCGTCACTTCTCCAGCTTCTCCAATTTCCTGGATACGTGACACTGCTGTTCTGTTTTAATATTTGAATTTCCTACATATTTTTTGTGACTTTTATATCGGTTACTTCTCACGTCATCGTTTGTATGCACTTATTGTAATATCTCGGTGC